GCAAGGCGATATATTGTGTAGTTCAGCCTCTGACCACTAGTTGGCAGCTCACTGCTGCCAACTAGTGGTCAGAGGCTGAACTACACAATATATCGCCTTGCTTACAGTATCGCAATATATCGGGATATATCGTATCGTGACCCCTCTGTTATGATATGTATCGTATCGCCAAATTCTTGCCAATACACAGCCCTAGTAATAATCCTCGTTTCGATGTGAYGGCTCACATATTGAGGTTTTTAACACCCAGGTTTAYTCAGAAATGAGGCTAATTAACCAAATACAAACAGAAGCCAGAAAAACCATCAACTTTTATATTTTATATTCAGGCTCTGCACACTTCCCCAGTCAACCAGTCCTAAAACTCAAAACTTCAAAGCMAGCAGCAAAGTTCAAACAGCTAAAATGTGTCTGCTTTTTTCCATTCAAACTAAATGTTCGGTTCTTGTCAAACCTAACGACAGAAATTATTCTCTGGGTTACATTTTGTGGCCCACCTCCTCCTCGTGAGAAAGGAAACAGGCGTGACCTAAAGAAGCCACATCCTGTTTTGTTTACTTCCTGCTCTGGAGACGTGCGTCACCCGGGGGAGCACCACATCACGGCTAATAAACATCTGGTGTCAGCGCCACAGAGCAGAACAATGGCTTTTACAGCCGTGGAAACAACCGTGGGACTCGTTAACACACATCTGAAAGGTTTCAACACAAATCAGGGCCCTACCTTGTGGGAGTAGTGAGGATCCATGATGCGGGCCAAACCAAAGTCCCCGATCTTCAGAACCAGGTCCTCTGTGTTGACGAAAAGGTTGGCGGGCTTCAGGTCTCGATGCAGCACGTTGGCAGAGTGGATGTACTTCAGACCSCGGAGGAGCTGGTACATGAAGAGCCTGGCGTGGCCCTCGGACAAGGAGCCCCTCTCCAGCAGCTGGCAGAGGTCCGTCTCCATGTACTCCTGCACGATGTAGACCGAGTTCACCTCGGTCAGCGACGCCACGTCCTCCGTTAGACTGCGGCCGCAGGGTCCGAGGGTCTCAAACACCTGAGGACGACAGGACGTCATTAAAGTTCCTGTGTTTATCCTTCAAACACAACAAGTCAAAGAAAACATCTTTATTAGGGCTGCAAAGATACAGAAAATTCAAGGTTCAGTTCCATACTTTAGTCTCACGGTTCGATGTTTTTTTCGATACAAAAAGAGAAATGTCCCTGCCCCTTTTAACTTGTAATTTATATAAATTAATTATGAACATTTCTTTAACCTCAAAAGTACAGTTTTTAAATTAAATGTTGCTGAAACAGCAAGTTTCTCAGTGGATCTGTGCTCAAAAATACAGCCTAGGTGGAGTAGTCGAACACAGATCCACTGATCCTTCAACACAGAGCATCTTCAGAAGACATGCTGATAAATTATAAATCTGTATTGTTTGATACAAGTGTGTGTTGAACCTAAAGCACTGTTTGATACAGTTCTGTACAGGTACATGTATTGTTGCACCCCTAATATATATATTTAAAGAAATTAGCATAATAAACACATTCTGTCTCATAACTGTCAAATTTTCTCTTGAATTTGGCTCAGCAACGTGAAACAGGAAGTGACATCAAAGGGGAACTCTTTAAGAAAAGAAACTAGTCTTTATTTATTGAAACAATCTTATTTAAACTTTAACTCTTCATCTCTGATAGTGACTCAAAATAATCTAAAGAAACATCAGATTTTTCTCTAATTCTTGTTACACTGTTTACATGATTCCCCTCTGACATCACTTCCTGTTTCTTCACATGCAAATTTCTCAACAATCGTTCATYTCAATAGAGTGTAATTTATTTTGCATTATGTTATCTATGTTATCTTTCCAAAAACACATTTATTACAAAAATTTGATGCCACAGGCCCTTTAAAGCCAGATAATCAGCCGGGAGTTTTTATTCATYTGAACGTCAAACCTTCACGATGTTGTCGTGATCGAGCCGTCGGATGATCTTGATCTCCCGCAGGGCGTGCTTCACACTTTGGGGGTCGGTCAAGATGATCTTCTTCACCGCCACGCGCTTGTCGCAGTCCGTGTCGACCGCCGAGAACACCAGGCCGTTCCCTCCGTAGCCCAGAGGCTTCARGTCCATGTAGCGAGAACCCAGGTCRAAGCCGTGGATATTCATCAGGGACTCGAACTTCTCTGCCATCACGACTGATTTAAGGCTTTAAGCTTCGAACTGATGTGTGTTTCCAGGCTTTGAGCCTGGCTTTAGAGGAGTTTGTGTAAAAACTCCCCMGTTCCTTCAGAGGATGAGATAAGGAACCCCTGTACAGACGACTACTGAGCCCCCCTGTCAAACGTGCAGCACTAACATGTAATCAGATTTTCTTTCCATGTTCAAGAACAGAACAGGTAAACTAGTGTTTCAATAAGTAACGGAATGAACTTTAAAGCCAATCAGAAGAGGGAATAAAAAAAGCACTGGGATTACATTAAACTATAAAATCATTTAGTTACATCCTCACAGTGCAAATACATTCAGTGTGTGACTGGTCCTGAGCAGCGTTATATCAACTGAGCCTAACAGCACAGTTTTTATACTTTCCTAATATTTATATATATATTTCTTCTTTGATCACCTGATCTATAAATTTGAAAAGGGTCTGGCCTTTTAGTCTTTAATAAAAACGTTTACCCTCAATGATCAGGTGGCTCAAGCTCGCCACAGTCGCAATCAAAACTATCCTCCATTTTAGTTGAGTACACCCTGAAAGAAAAGAGACAAAGAAAGAGAACGTATTAATTTAAATGTTTCACCAATACTTATTTTTGTTTTCTAGGATAAACCACAACTATGAGAAATGTTGTACCAGCAGGAAGTGAATCTGAATGTGTTTAATTTAAATTAAATGCATTGGTTTGAAAATAAATTTCACTAAATTGAAACTGAATTTAAAGTTTTGTATCTGAATTAATTGTCTTTAAAACTGTATTTTGGTTTATTAAAACTTCAGTTTGACTACTTTCACTTTCAGTTCCATAATTCAGATKTTTGTGTCACATCCTGGTCCTTGAGAAAGCCAGGCAGAGTAATCAAACACAGATCCACAGATTTATGTTTCACTTTGGTGAAGTTTCCCTTCTGGATGTAACAGAGTTGATGCAATCCACTGTAAAAGTGACAAAAACACACAAAGTTATTTTATTGCAGTGATTAATTTGACCTATATGTAGAAAATGTTACATTTACATGATGACATCATGGATCAGTCAGCAGCAGCATCTGATCTATATGTGATCCATGATGTGATGTAAATGTAACATTTTCTACATATAGGTCAAATTAATCACTGCAATAAAATAACTTTGTGTGTTTTTGTCACTTTTACAGTGGATTGCATCAACTCTGTTACATAGGCTGTGTCCAAAACAGCAGGACGGGTCCTCCGAAGGTCGAATTTGTCGGCTGCATACGTCACAGCGCCGCGACGAAGGACGTCCAAAACCAAAGACTCCTCCGATGCGTCCGACAAATACGTCCTTCCTTTGGCCCGAATCGAAGGACAGGTCTGATGGATCCTTCCTGGCCCACCATATCCCATAATGCATTGCGGCCCGACCGGAGATTTTTTTATGCTAGTAATGGCGGACGAAGCGAAAGAAAAGAATACATTTAAATAAAAATATGGTGATATAAAAATTTTAAAAAAATCAGTGGTTGTAAATCTAATACTTTTATCATTTGTATGGACATGTTTTTAAATATTATTTTTTCGTCATAAAAAACGCGAAATAAACATGAACTTACAGCGGGTCAATTAGTTCTTCAAATGATACCTTTAAGTTAATTTTATAGTTTTGTGATATTAATAATGCTAATGTATTGATATTTTTCTAGTTTTGATTTAAGTTTGCTTGTTTAGCGTCGTCACAGTTGCTAGGTGACATGACGTACGCCGGGGTAAGGAKGGGAGGCTAGACCGTCCAAATTCACAGCCTCTTTTTTTCCGGTCTTCCCGGTCTACCAAGGACCCGGTCCGCCTCGACCGGGGAGTCTGGGTCCTCCGGAGGACCCGGCCTGTCGTTTTGGACACAGCCATCCAGAAGGGAAACTTCACCAAAGTGAAACATAAATCTGTGGATCTGTGTTTGATTACTCTGCCTGGCTTTCTCAAGGACCAGGATGTGACACAAAMATCTGAATTATGGAACTGAAAGTGAAAGTAGTCAAACTGAATTTTTAATAAAACAAAATACAGTTTCAAAGACAATTAATTCAGATACAAAACTTTAAATTTAGTTTCAATTTAGTGAAATTTATTTTCAAATTATGCACATCCAGATTCAGTTCCTGCTGGCACAAGTTTTATCCCAAACACAACTCTCTGTTGTCAGACGTTAGAAATGTTCCGGTGTTGTGTCGAGATCTGCTCAGTTTCCTCASCAGCAGAGAGGAGGGGGAACCGACTTGACAGGAGCACAAAACTCGATACAACACCGGTTAGAGCTAAGCCCCGCCCCTACCCGGTAAAGGTGCTCGTTGGTCCGGTTTGGAAGACGAGGCGATTAATTTCGGAGAAATCCCACAGAGCTCTGACGAAAATAGGTTACATGAGAACGTATCAACGCCACATGATAAATGACAAATAAATACTTTAATGTTGAGATTATAGCGCCGGGTTGGGCCTTCACCTGATAAACAGGCCGGCGGAGAAACAAAAAATAAGCCGAAGAAAAGAAAAGAACGGAGGCTGAAGCCGCTCACAACAGCTCCGTCGACTGAAACGATCACAAACTTACGTTCAGATCCTGACACACACACTAAATAAGAAACAAACCCCACATCTCTACACATTAAGGAAGTATTAGATGTAAAATCCGGCATTAAAGGTTAAGGAAAAATCGGACTATAGCGCGAACAAAGGAGCAGTTGTCGGCGGAAGGTTTTTGACTACGTGTACCGTTCAGCTTTCATAAGCGACACAAAGCCGATGTCGATAAAACGACTCAAAACGACAAAACCCCGCCGTGAAACCCCACAGACAGCGCGGGGAAATGTCRGGGATCACGTGTGACGAGTTACTTACAGTCCTTGTTCGTCGCATTGGGTGAATTATTGTCTAAACCGAGCCCAGACAACGACAGACAGCGCTCCGCTCCCCGGGATCTGCGGATCTACTGCAATCGCCATTAAGGCTGGTTTTGAACGGCTGCGGTGACGTCACGGCGATGCGTTCCGGGGCTGTCGGAATATTTACWATTCAGCATGTTTTATGAATTATCGTTTGTCAGTTCAAGAATAATTAACTATCAAATACAATTGATTTTAAGTRCTTTACGGTACTTGTTAAAACTGAAGTTATACTTCCCGGTAATTTCAATCAATTTGTATTTTTTTATTTTTTAGAAATAGAAAACAAGAGCTTATTTCCTACATTAATCCTTCATTTCTYAAAGGCATTACATGCTTATCGTTAAAAGCTTATAAAACACTGTAAGGCTTTTAAAATCATAAAATTGGTTTGATTTGTGCTCATTTCGTCAGGAGTGTCACTGTCACTTGAAAATCCGAGCAGACATTGAAAGCATCACAAATCATTCAAAACCTTTGTRCAGATCACCACAGAGGGAAATTTCACCTCAGTTATTGCGAGTTTTTGTATTAAAAAACACATTTAAAGAACAAATTAAAACAATTTCTACAAATAAATCATCTTGATGTAAAAAAGCGCGTTTAGTCACTGCAGAATCAGAAATGTGTTATTATAATTTTATTATATGACTGCTCTGTACTCATTTCTCTGTTTCTCCAGTAAAACCCTATCATGTATCTACAGTTGTTTCTTTTCTATTGTACAGTGTCCTTGGGTGTCCTGGAAGGCTCTTTATAAATAAAATGCATTGTTATTATTTTTTTGTACAAGGCTAAGGCTGTTTGAAAATACAGCTATCTTTTCAACTGTTCCAACAAAACTTTGAAAGATAGTCAAATAAAATTCTAAATGGTAAATTGAAGAACTTGTGCAAGGAGATAGCACAGTTTCTGTGCAGGAATGAGACAGCAAGGAAACACAGACAGCTCTCCAGGAGCGAGCTTACCTTATCTGGTCAGTCTAACATGTTTCTGCACTGTCTGTCAGAAAGGGTGGAGGTCTCTTCATGACAAATTTACAAAATATCACTTGTCCTCGGCAAC